CTGGCCGAACCCCAAGCGGCACTGGACAAGCACCTTTAAAATCGGGGAACCTGACCACCGGGGTGTGGCGTACGTTGGGATTGCGTTGCAGCCAGCAGTAACAGCCTGGTTGATCAGGCTCTGATCCACCAGGCCTGGTCACAGACCGGGCCGCGGGGGCGTTGACCCCGGAACTCTCTCCAGGTAAACTCCGGGTTTAGACGGTAAGCCAGCCGAAGGCCTCGGTCAGATGACCAAAAGCTATAGCTGTGAGTCATCATATGACTAAGACCTGCGTCAGGAAATACTTGTCCTGTTTCCTGATGAACCTTACCTAACCTAACCTGTGTGTGCATTCTCAGTGCAACCTCGACCTTACTGCTCTCTTCACAGTTGCCTTGACAGCTACATTATTGATCAATGGTAATCTGTACACCTCTCCTCAAAGGTGTTGCTTTAATAACTTTAATTGGTCTGTTGCTCGTGACCATGATAACGATCATTTTCCTTGTCACATTCTGAAACCGATCGCCTCATCACTCCTGTTCAGAGTTTGAATGGGCAGATTGGGAATTTTATTCATGCTAGTTACTAATTTGCTGTAAAAGTTATTTGGCTGATGTGCACCTCACGCAATATGCTCGGTATTATGCTCACCCTGAGGTCCTTCTCCCCGAGTGAGGTTTGTATAATTTGCCATAAGGTGGTAGCTGCAGTGATGTACAACCCGCCACAGAACTGCAGGAGGCGAAGAGAGCAGCAGAGCAATGGTAAACACTAGCCGAGGTGACCAGAAGAGCTCATATGGGTAGAGCAGTTACTAGTTATGGGTGATTTCAATCACAAGGAGATTGACTGGGAAAACCTGGAGCCCCATGAGGGTCCCGAAATATGGAGAGCCAAGATGGTGGATGTGGTACTGGAAAACCTCGATGCGTCAACATGTTAGAGACACTGCCAGAGAGAGAGAGAGAGAGAGAGAGAGAGAGAGAGAGAGAGAGAGAGAGAGAATGATCTAGCAAGACTGGACCTAGTATTCAGTTTTAGTAGTTCGGGCATCGAGGATATCACGTTGAGCTACAAGTGGAGAGGGTAGCACGAATAGGACGGAAAAATCCAAACTACAGAAGGGGTGGACTACACAGGAATGAGGAACTTCAGGGAGCTGTCGGGGAAAAAAATTGTAGCTCTTTTGTTTACCGTCCGATTTCCTCCAGTTTTGGTGCACAAGACAAAGTGTTTTCACACCGTGTAAAATATATTTGTCAAAAATATACCTCAAACAACAACTGAGAAAAGACTGAAAAAGGAATGATTTACAGAAAATGCCCTTTGGCAGGAAGGTAGTCCTACATGGGACGACGTAAGGTTGTTTGGACACTTGATGCCGAGAGAACAATGCTAATACTAATTTTCCGCGAGACCTTGCCTCTAAATAACTTCTTTATTTCAAAAAAAAAAAAATAAAGTTTGTTAGTTCTTGGAATGTTGAAAAAAATCTGCCCTTTACTCCCACATAAATCCCAAAGTATTTGGAATATTTCCAAAATTCTCTCTGCATTAATTAGAGAAATCATTATTTTACCATTTCTGTGAATGTTATTCCACTTAAGTAATAAAGGCGTACCTTAGCGAAATAAGTGAATAAACTACTTCCGAGATATTGGCCTGAAGCGCCGGCCGGCCCATCCCCCCCGTCTCGAAAAAAAAAAAAAATCGCGAAAATGGCGTTTGTGTATTTCTTAGTAAACTGATGTTCTAGTGCAGTTATCCTCTTCAAAACACCGTTTTCTCTTACTCAGAGACCAAAGAATACGACATGAGAGGATTCACTCATTTATATCGAAATAATCCCGATTTTCTCGCGCCATATTATGGATTATTTTATTCAGTCTAAGAGTATATAACATGTTTGTATGTTATTTATAGTGTTTATTACGATCATATTAGATCAATTCTGATAAATAAATAAGCCGTAGAGTTGATATATAAGCTGATATAAGCGTAATAATGAAGTGATTTCTCCTGGCACTCTGGAGCTGGAACACTGCCGAGTGTTCCCAGATGGTGCCTGGTTGTCTCTAAGTGTACGGATAAGCTCCGCCTACTGTTTTATGATGCCAAATAGTCAATTATATTATATTAGAAAGAATAATGCAAGAAAAAACGATAAAAAACAAGGAAAAAATTCCAAAATATATATAGGCTGTGAGCAGACGCGCTACCCATATCACCGTCACCATACCTGATATAAATGACTATAATTTCTTGTAGAAACGTCGTAGATGGCCAAGTTGGCAAGTACTGCTGCAACAACATGCAAGGAACCTATAGTGACATAAAAACTGACGGTGACGACAACGAAATGGACTAAATGTGACAAAAGAGGGACCGGCATTCAAGTACCAGACCTGCTGCCAGACGTGAACCAGACATGAGACGTTTTCCACTACAATGAAATAACTGACCTCCATATCAACTGCACCAGTGTTTAACGGGAAGACAACATGGCAGAAAACCTGATCAACTAAATCTCCAAGGAAATGACAGGTCTGTAGGACTTTTTTCTTCAGTGCCAAACGAAGGAAAGATTTCAGCATTTAAACATGGCTGACCGGCATCCAAACAGTCGCTACTGCCAGACGTACAACTAGCGAAGTGAAATTCTCATCTTTACTGACGTTCATCTGTTGACAGTAGCATCATATCTGTACCACCATCATATCACCTGTACCAGTGCTAACGAGAGGGAAACACAGGAGACATCGTCAAATCAACAGTACAAAACTCCAAGGTTATAGGACGGTTATCCCTCAGTGCCAGTCGTGAGAAAGAAGTGAATAGTTAAACAGTCAAGGTTAATGTTTAGTAGCTGACTATATTCAGCTAACAGTGTACAGTGAGAGAATCATAGCAAAAACCCAAAAAATACTAACATTAAGGAAAGTCAGGTTGAGGGGCGTTACTCCCCCTTTGTGTTTT